TTTTTGTTGAAATAATGTATATTCAATCTCACTCTTCTGACCCCCCACCCGCTAGCCCACCCAATCCCTCTTTTGCCCCATACCCGACTCCCTCGAATTTCGCACCTTCTCTTGGCAAGACTTAGCCCAATCCATTCTCGTTAGGGCCGGTTCCATCCCTAGCCCCAATATACGGCCCATCCTCTTTCCCTTAAGCGGGACCAGACAATGTACCTGACTCTTTGGAGCCAAGTTCACCTAAGTCCAACTTAGTGATTGTTGAGTCTTGCTCTTCTCGTTCTGAAACGGACTCCCCGGACCACTCTCTTCTCTTTTTGGAATTTAAAGATGACTTTTCTGTCACCCTAGACTTGCGTAAAAAACCAATCACTGCTCTCCTCTCCTCATCTGTCCCGCCCCATTGTCCTTAATCCCCCACCCCGCGCTGGGTGTTTTTAAATTAGAAGGTTGGCTCCACTATGGAGCCAACTGTTGGCTCTATAGCAAAACCGTATATAACATATGTTAAATACTAGCAAAAGAAGTTATACAAATTAGCAAACACTTAAAATTGACATCGACGTAAGTTAAACTCGTCTTGTATGGTGTCAATAATTCATGGACTAGAAAACAGAAATGCTATTAAATTATCGCGGCTCGATCAGTGGGTTGAGCTTGAGTGAATCTGCACCGTAGTTGAGAATGAACCAGTGGTGAGTTCAATGCGTGAGTTTGAGAGACAAGCTGGAGGTTTTAGCATATATATCATCTATTAAATTGACGTAGAGCATATGTATTAGATGTTCAATAGCTAATCTATGATGTGTAGCTAATAGCTATGAGGTAATGAGAATATACTTACGGGGAAGGTTACAATTCCGTTATGGGATGGTTCCGCTGTTCTTTTTAAGCGTAGATTACCTATACATCATTGATCTACATGTATATCTTCGGCTTAAAAAAAACAACGGAACCATCCGGTCCATGCCGTAACGGGATTGTAGCATTCTCCTATACCTTTATCATGTTATTTCAAATTTTAGTAGACAATTTTATATTAACAAGAAACCTCATACTTTTTTTTTTTTGGGCATAAAAAATTATTCCAGACATTCCCACACAAAATAAATTTCAAGAACAAAACATGCTACAGCAAAGTCCAAAATGAAAATTACTAATCAAAATGAAGAATCCACAAAATCCCAAAATCAGAAGTTGCTTGGGAAAAACCACATTGGCGTCGGGACCAACGGTTTTAGGTTGGCAGGGTCGCATGGATAATAGCATGGTGACACAGTCTTGTCCTCATAACTGAAGATGCCAATGTCATGGCCATCTGTACCAGAAACACTAAAATTTGCTAAAGCATCCGTGAAGTAAATGGAGTTGGGCTTGAGTCCGGGAAGTCGCGTGCACGCAGCGCAACAGAGTGGTTGTAGTGACCAACGAAAAGAGCCCAACCACCCAAAGACGAACCTTCCACGTACTTGAGATCCCCATCCTCCGGATCATATCTATGAACATCAAAATCAATAGTCGCGGTCGGATGGCCAAAAGGCCATCCTTGTGATTCTTCATCTGATTCTTCATTTGATTCTTCTTCCGATCCTTCTGCCTCCCAATCAACATACAAGCCATTTGAGTCGACCGTTAGCATGACGTACTGAGTCACCACCAGGAGATCCTTTCCGGCAACCACCAGATGGTACACATGCCAACATGTCAAGTCATCTCTAGACCCTAACAACTTCTTCTTCATCATCTCCTCTTCGTGGTCGAGGATATTACTAAACTCACCCATAATTCGTATCAGTTCTGGGGATGCAGCCGTCACGTCCCAAGCCTCCAACTGGAAAGTGCTTGTGAGGGCAAAGAGTGTCCGTTGGCTTGTGGAGTAGACGCAATCTAAGTAATGGTCGTCTCCGGAATTGGTGCCGAAGCAGGAATTGGTGCCGAAGCAGCTCCACTTGTCACTGGACAAGGGGCAGCACACAGCCATGGAATCCCCACAGTAGGTTAGCCTCACGGCCACACATTTTTCACGGTCGGGAGAGCAGGAGAGGAAGGACTTATGGACAATGGGTGCACTGTCTAGATCAACAGAGGGGCCGTAGGAAGGTGGGAGCTCTATGTGGCGGCGGGATATGGGGTTTTACAGTAACAGATCGTGGGTTTCGGGCTGCACAAGGGATAGCCAGCCACCGCCGGAGGAACCCCGGAAACTCAGAAGGCCGAAGGGTATTAGTGGGACCCCCAAGGTCACGACCCTGTTCTCCGCTAGGTTGTAGAACTTGTAAGTCAACGTGGCGGCACTGCAGACGGCGTCGGCTTCATATGCGGGTTGCAGCATCAGCCACGGAGAAGAACAAGAAGAAGAAGATGGATTGGTTTTTTCCGGCGACATCAGCGCCGCCGTGCTCATGCCTCTCCGACAAAACCAATTACTCCGTTTTCCAGAAATAAAATAACTAGAAAATCCGGCAAAACCTCGGCCGCGGCGCAGCAGGGAAGAGTAAGCCATCACCAGGTTTTCAAATTATGCCTTTCTATTTTTTTAATTAGGGAGAGCAGAGCGGATGCGGAAAATGTAAACTCTTGACCTAATAACTCCCTATTCTATTTATTTTTTTTTACAGAGACCTTCCGGTTTCTGGATCCATAGGGGAACCGACTAATTCGGAATCGAGCAGGGTAGGACCACAAGGGCGACAAAGTTCTTCTTCAAGAGTTTTAACACTGCTGCATTCCCAAGGCTCGAACTCGAGATCACTGGTTAAGCTGGAAGAGACCACCGTTATATTGTGGGCACCTTATTGATTTCAAGATTTCGTACAACGTTTGGAATGAGATTTTATGTCTACACTTATTTTATTCTAAATGATTTCATATGTATAAAATAAAATATCATTCGTGAATGGTGATAACTAATGATAAAAACTCACGTGTTCGAGCCAAATGGCATGAGCCAGATTTCAATAATGCAACAGGTCGAGGTATTGAACCGAGCCTGAAGTCCAGTTTAATTGTTTGTGTGGGCTTTTAGCTTCCTTCAGTCTGGACTGGGGGATTTTGCCACAACTATGATTTTGGATGCATGGTTGGTCGGTCCCTTTCCCCATTTCTTTTATGTCGGCCCCGAGAACTCTCTCGTCAGACTTCAGGTCGATCGTAATTACTTCATTTTTGAGCTCGACTCCGCTGGCGCTTCGGTTTTCAGAGTGGACGTGCGCTTCTTGTCTGCTACTTGCTGCTTATTGACAAGACTCAATGTCTCGGATTCTTTTGTTGAAGCGAGCGATGTTACTTTCCGGGCGCTCTTCGGGCCCCTCAACGGCTGTCAGTTTCAAATGGGGCTGGGGCGTAGCGAATTGTACCATCTCTGGACTTGGAATCTTAGAGTCAAAGGGGACGTCTTTGGACGAATCGTCCTTCGTACAGGTTGATCCGAGAGTTGTGACGGCCAAGGTGGGTGTCTGGATATGTCCTGCCATCACGTCGCTCGGACTAGGTATCATTACTTTATTTGGCAGAGGGTAAAGTAGGAGTTCAAATGATGACGGGATTGTATCACCCCACTCTTGCTGGGACTTCGAGTTCGACAATGTTTTCCATCGCCATGCAACCTCCCCTAGGTCACACTTCTGGGCCCCATCATTTTGATCTTTCCGCCATCCAAGGTGATAAAGGGCAGGAGGAGCAGTCGTGATTGGTTGGAAAAAGTGTGTATTCTATATACTTATTAGCGTATTATTGTATGCTTAATTTTGTCGCACTTATTTTTTTTTGACTTATTTATTTATTAGATGAATCTACGTCCTATGATATTTTTATATCTTATTTTTAAGATATTTGAGTGTTTTTATGGACGGCGGGCCGAAGGAAGATTAAAGCAAATCGGTATGTGGCACCCCGGACTTACCATGTTTCGGCTCATTAATGAAAGTTAGGTCCAAAAATTGTGAAGTTTGGAAGACTTAGTGCATAAGCAGTGGGCTAGATACTTGTGGCCCAATAAAAAATGTCCAGATACATTTCAAATTGAAATTGGGCCATAAAGAGACTTGAAAAGGGAATTAATTGGAGGAAACACTTGAATAATTGAGGAGGACTACGTGCAGGCCTGGATAGGTTTGGAATTGCACACCCATTATTTATATAATACCAAGGTTTTAAATAGTGGACTAAAACGTTTATGGCACTGTAGCTATAGAGAAGCTATAACGGAGATTTAGTGGGATTTAGCGGCTAAATTGCACATTAATACAAATAGCGGCACGCTGCCAAAAAAGCTATTTCTCAAATAGCGGCAACTTTAGCGAGCTATTTATTTCCTTGTATAATACATAGCCACAAAGAGAAGAATTTCAATTTTCACGCAAGCAATACGCCAATACCTGAGAGCCGCCACACAGGAGAAAAGAAATTCAGAACAGAGAATGCACGGACAGATACGAGGAAGTCGGCAATTGCGGAAGGAGACCGCACCCGCATACAAGGAGAATAATTGTATTCTTTTCTTTTTCTTTTTATTTATTATGTTAGAGTAGATTTTATTTCTAGTACGCGGAAGTCGAACCCTACGATTGACGATGTTTTGATCAATTTACGTGGTTGATAATTTTAATATCTTTTTGGAATTGTGCGTGTTATTTTGAATAATTAAATATGATGTGTTGAGTCTTATTTAAATTGATTTAGGCTTTTCATATCTATAGCTGGATTAGACCTTCAATCCGTAATTGTTGTTGTGTTTAATTCACAAGAGGCAACCGAAAGACGGTAACTACAGGAGATAACACGACATATATAAATGAACGACTGCGGTTGAGTTCACTACTTAGTCTAGTCTTCTAATTCGTAAAGCGACTAATTGTATTAAATCTTCAAAATATTTTTCTGGACTATACAAGAAGTCAGGTTCAATCGTAGAGCGTCATGCGGTTAAATTAAAAATAAAGAAAAATTCGGGTAGCAGATACCTAGGGCTAGTAAGTTCATAAGATAGCGAGTCTTGATACCAAAGTTGATTAAACGAGTCAGTCGAGGGTGCAGACGGAACCGTGGACTAGAAATTTATCTTAATTTAATTTATTTTATTTTTATTTGTTAAGATTTTATTTATTTTGGTTAGTTTAGCTATTAATTCACAATCCCCCCTCCCCCTCTTTATCGCTTTTTATAGTTTCAATTAATACAAAAATTTCACAATTTGATTCACACTCCTCGTGGATCAACCCTTACTCGCTACTACTACTAGTTATTAGAGGTTAGTCAAGGAAAAATATAAATTTTAATTTGCTGCATTGCGACGCGCATGCGGCCGACCTACTCTCTCCAACTTCCTTTATCTAGGCTCGATCAATCGCCGGCAATCGCGTTTTCATCGTGTTGTCTGGTAATTGGGCTACCACTTCCCACTGGTCAGAGTTCCTCTTGGGTTCCCGGCGGTGTATGTGTGTCTCTTTTCTCCAGCGTCTTGAATGCATTCCGTGTCGTAGACTTCGTAATTATTGCCGCTACCGTCGTATCTTTGGATTTCTCCAGCGTCTTCAATATGCTTCACGTCGGAGTCTTCGGGGTCTTTGTTGCTTCCACTGTGTCTTTAGATTTTCTCCGGCGCCTTGAATAAGTTTTGCGCCGATGTATTTAGGGTCTTCGTTGCTATCGTCATATCTTTGGATTTATCTGTTGTCCCGTATATGCTTCGCGCCAAAATCTTCGGGCTCTTCGCCGATTCCGCTGCGACTTTGGATTCTCTGGTGTCTTGAATATGTCTCGCACTGGAGTATTTAGGGTCTTCACTGCCGCTACATCATCTTATTTTCTCCAACATCTTGAAAACGTCTCGCGCCAGAGTCTTCAGGGTCTTCATTCGTATTTTACAATTTTGTTTTCATTTGAACTCCTATTTTATCCCCTGACAAATAAAGTAATGATACCCTAGTCCGAGTGATGTGATGGCAGAACATACCCATACGCCCACCTTGGTTGTCACAACTCTCAGATCAACCTGTTCGAAGAAGGTTTCATCCAAAGACGTCCCCTTTGACTCTAAGATTCCAAGTCTAGAGACGGTTCAAACTGAATTTTTGGTTTCGGCCGGTTCGACTCAATTAGCCGAACTTCATGCACCCCTAGTTCACGCGATCAATTATCAGGCCTTCTTAATACCCGTGAATTTAGCCCACAATGCCTTAGAATTAAGGCTAAATTACACAAAATGCAGCCACTAGGACACATACAGAGCAACGATAGAGACAGAGTAAAAGGGTCGGCTCGGCAGCACACACGGAGCAAAGCCGCACCCGCAAGATAACTAATCTCTCTCTTTTATCTAGTACTTATTGGAAAAATTGGAGATTTCGTTCTGTAAGTGACGCTCATTTGAGGTTTGGTCATCTCCGATACCCACTTTTAGATCACGTCCCATAAGTGCCAAAAAAGTGAGAAATAATCTGCGACCGGTTAATACATAAATTTTTACCGACTTGCTGAGGTGGAATTCTTTTTCACTTTCTTTTTTGCTGATGTGGTGAAATATGTGGTAGATTTACAAAAAATAATGTAGGAAGTGGGACTCAAACCTGGGTTACTTTGGCATTCCAAACACGACAAAAACCACTTGACCTAACACCCCTTTTTTTGTTAAATTTTTTACTTTATTTATATATATAAAAAACGTTTTATCCCAAAAAAAGAATTATATATATATTATTCAATTTATACCTATTTTTAATTATAAAACTTATAAATAATTTATTTATTAAATTATTATTGATTACAAAATAAAAATTAGTAAATTAAATAAATAAATAAATAATTTTATATTTTATTACCTTTTTAAAATAAATAAATAAATAATTTTTTATACAAATTTGCCATATTAATTTTTTATATGTTAAAATATATTTACTATATAATAAATATATTAAATGATATAATTTTAGTTAACATATTCAAATATATATATATATATATATATATATATATATATTAAATAATATATTCAATATATATGACCGAAATAAAAAATATATATTAATTAAATGAATATATATTAGATAAATAAATTAAATGATGTTGATACTAAATAATAATATATTAAATATAATAAACATATAATAAATAAATATATTACATAATATAATAAATAATTATTGATATATAAATAAAAATATAGTACTCTGAATTATAAAACTAATACCTCATTTATTTATTAAATATGTATTAATTACAAAATACTAAATAAATATTATTAAATATTTAATTACAATGTTTAGTTAAACTTTTATTATCGTTAATATTGTTTTTATACTAATTAATATTATTACATTTTAATTAATTTTTTATATATGAAATAAATATTTACTAAATACATATATTAAATAATATAAAATAATATGATTATATTTTAACATATTTAAATAAATAAATAAATACATTACACAATTTTATTTAATATTAAATAAATAAATAAATTAAATAATATATTTAATATGTAAATATATATATAGAAATAAA